AAATATTTAGATCTATCATTCTCGGTGGTGTTTATCGGCTATCTAACACCGCCACCGTGATGCGTTAAACATTGAGTCATTGACCACCATTTCATCACTAAAAGAAAAAGGCTGGTGGGCCGCAACCTTTTAAAATTTTTTTTTATGAAAAAACTTCTTAAAAATCTTTAATAATCAAACGTGCGATCTCTTTATTTTTAGAAAAGGGCTTAGATCTACTTTGATCTGAATTCAGATCTGACTTCCTGTAAAAATTAACAGGGAGAAGAATATCCATTGTGTTCAAAAGTACAACCTGAAAATCGGAGAATCTGATTGGTCATTCTAAAATAAGATGTAAAGGATAGTTCTTACCATGCTAAAAAAATAGATTGTAAAGGATAATTCTTACCATTCTAAAAAAACAGTATTTACCATTCTAAAATAAAATTTCAAAAGGATAGTTGTTACCATTCTAAACTTAGAAGTAACCAGTTTTACTTCGGGACGAGTATCTTTGTAATGATACTTCTTGTTTTCACCTTGCTGCTGTTTATCATCCCACAGGCAACAGAATTCTTTCATTTTCTTGCAATTGATTTTATCCATCGCTTATTTATCATCATTATTATTATTATTATTATTTTTTATTATTACAATTATTTATTTAAAACAGTTGTTTTTGCTACCGTTATAACAATAATTAAAATATATAATGGGTAAACAACATTCGAATTCAAGAAGCAAGTAGTATACTATACATAGTCATGCCCGGATACTAAGATTATGGGCAGATTTTAAGGTCGCATGTTTGAGAAATGTATCGGATATTCGGAATAACATAGTTACATTCTTCAAAAACTGTTCCTAATTTTTATATTTTGATTTTCTTTTTTAATTTCCATGAACTTTAAACGTACATGTGAGTGTTCATTTACAAAGCCCAAACAGGCATGAGCCCAATTTTCATTTAGCTATATATAGTCTGCGTTTCTCGCACCCTTTAAAAACGAGGACGAAGACACGATAAGTGAGCATATATATTATCATGTCTTAACCTTTCGACTTTGAGAGGCAAAGACACGAAATGGCAGAAATTCAGCCACCCAATGCATAAAATGTGTTTGTTAATATAAATCGATTCCAAAAAGAAAACATGCAAAAAAAAAGCCCCCCCCCCCCCCTCGAAGAATAAACTACCCTATAAGTATAATTTAATTTTATTTCCGCTGAAGCAATAAGTATACGTGCATTAAAATTGTTAATGTGGGACTCCTTAAAGTTATTTCCTTAACCAGTTGTAAGAAAGATGAGCAAAAGAGGGGTTTTTATTAGTCCGTTTTCATTCAGTATGATTTGCGTAAGTTAAGTTTTAGTTAAACTTATTTTAATGTTTCAATTAACAACATACACAAAGCATTTCAAATATTCTCAAAAAAAAAAAAAAAAAAAAAAAAAAAACAGGATTACAATGAAAGATAATTGACATGTATAAAATTATGATAGCTAGACGCTTAAATCATTGAACCACTTAGAAGTATTGCGCTAATTTGAGCTCGCAAAAAAAAACTTGTAACATCAATATAAGGACATTTTATAACATACACTTTATACACTTATGATTTTGAAGTGACATGAAAGTGTGCGACTGAAGTAGAAACTTAACACATAAGTTGACAACATTATATACATAATTATATTTCTATATTTTTTATTTGTTTTCTAGAGCAGACACGGATTTAAAGTTGTCACAGGGTGAGAAAATGTGCAGTCTGACAGGGACTCAAACCCTTGACCCTCGGAATATCGTACCGCAGCTCTACCAATTGAGTTATCTGTCCACTTACATATCTTCTCCCTGAAACGGTGAACAGTTCTGAACCAGGACATACACCCAGCAATAATGAAATTCGTCCTCGAATTTCTCAGGGTTTCCGGGCAATGTGTATTAAACTCTGAGCTATATACAGTCACGGTCCCCCGTTGGGCGCATAATATAACATCAGGTTGAGAAAATTGTATTTTATTTTTTTCTATTTTTATTTTATACTATAGTCTCATCAATGTGATACATTATATACAATATATCATAAATAAAAAACATTTTAAAGCATAATTAAAACACACATTGTCACTCTCTACAGAGTTATAGGAGACTTTGTATATGTAAATATCATAATTCAAGTAAAATTGTTATTGCACAATGGCGTATTAAAATTCACACTTAATCTATATCTTGAGTATAAAACATGTATAATATTTCCATCTGTATGGGACATTCATGAGTGTGAAGAGTATGCCTTAGTCAGGTTCCGGATAAGTTTAAGTAAGAACATGGATATATATATAGGATGTAGTTTAGTGTATGATTACACAATATGTGATCAGAGAGGACATGCATATACAGGACATGATTAAGTACATGTACATGTTTATAGGGAAGGTGACCAAATACTTCAAGTAAGAACATACATGTATAGGATATGATCAAGAACATGTTTGTATTGGACGTGACAATGTAAGAACATTAATGTATAGGATATTACAAGTAAGAAAATAGATGTATAGGACGTGACCAAGAACATGTTTGTAAGGGACGTGACAATGTAAGAACATTAATGTATAGGATATTACAAGTAAGAACATAGATGTATAGGACGTGACCAAGAACATGTTTGTAAGGGACGTCGACATGTAAGTGCATTAATGTATAGGATATTACAAGTAAGAAAATAGATGTATAGGACGTGACCAAGAACATGTTTGTAAGGGACGTCGTCATGTAAGTACATTAATGTATAGGATATTGCAAGTAAGAACATAGATGTATAGGACGTGACCAAGAACATGTTTGTAAGGGACGTGACTATGTAATAACATTAATGTATAGGATGGTACAAGTAAAGCATAGATGTGACCATGTAAGAACAGTCATGAATGTACAGTATATGAAAATAAAGAAAATAAATCTACATGACATGACTAGGTAAGAAAAAGAATGTATAGGATATGATCAAATAAGAACACGAATGTTTCAGGGTATATTGGTATTATCAGATATTACTTGGCAATTGGCTTAAAAATAGCAAACATTATAAAATACTAAAAGTAACATGTTAATAAAATGAAGGAAATATACTTGAAAAGTCTATTCTAAAAAACTAACTATACGGAAGTTTCGATCTCATATTTAATATTGAGAAACAGGTTTAAGCACTTTCTCTAACAATATCGTTAGAACTAATTCAAATTTTTGATCATCATTCCAATCGTGAAACTCATGATTAATTTTAACAGCTTCTTCATATAAACTACTTCTTATGGTTTCATATACAGAAATTCTATAAGACATGTTTTTTCGTTTCAACTGCATTTTTTTCAAATACGACATAGTCTAGCATTAACAGGAATATTTTCATATCGCCCCCGTTTCTAAACGTAAAGGCGCAACACCGCATTTGAATTTAGCCAGAGGAGATCTGTGTTAAGCAGGAATATTACTTGTAGAGACATACATTTCTGTATCATAATCATGTTTGAAAACTCTATATGATCTAAGTTTATAACGACCATTTATGCGTTTTACCAGACACGTTATTAACTTTGTTTTTACAGGTACAGCCTGAACGAGACTCAAACCCGGGACCCTCGGAATACTTTTTCGAGGCTCTACCGACAGAGGCTGATAACTTACACACCTTCTCATATAAATAGTGAACAGTTCTGAACCTTGACAAAGTTATGAATCTCCACATTCTTCATAGAAAACATGAAACAAAGTTTTCCTATGCTAAGTTGAGATTCGCTTTTCTAGAGCATGCCCTTCAACATGAAAAACATCAGCAAAAACTTCAACTAATTTTAGTAGAAGAGTGAGTATAAGTCCATAAAGTTTAAAAGATACTAATCTACAATATAGCTTTGCTCTTTACATTAATATAGGTCAATATTTGGCCATGTATGAGTCCAAATTAAAATATGATGACGCTAAAAAAATCAACATTTATAGTTACACTACTTTTAAATTTTGAACAGGATATGTCATCACACAATTTGTGAAGAGTTTCTAGAGATTTCTAGTTTTGCAAAATCAAATCAAGAAGAATTTTGTAAATATCTAAAGCCTTAAATTATGATCAAGACATAAATGTTTAAATTATTATCCCTATTTGAACTGGAGATTTCATGCTGTTTTTAACTACATGCGTATGCACATACCCCAGCAAAGATTATAATATAATGTATTTGTACAAAATATATCAAATGATCATGAATTGTTTGTTGTAAAATAGTTCCATTTTACGGCAAAGAACGCTGGCAGCATTGTTCTGCGTTCTGCGTTCAATTAATGTCTGATTTCACGAAGCGTTCTGAAACAGACGACAACTTTCTTATTGATATTTCGTCTGTTCGCAAATGTACATTGCCGTATGTGAACATTTGCTTCTCTTCCATTGATATTTTAAGTCCGAAATTAATGCCCCGCAAAGGCCCCAGTATTGTTTAGTTAGAGACCAGTTAGTGTAACCTTGATCAAGTTCAGTCTCCGTGTGGATCCATTTCCAGACATCTTCCAGCACGACCATTCCAGCCCAGTAGTTCCCTGGAAGGAAACAACCGTGTTAGATATAGAAAAATAAATGAGCCGCGTCATGACAAAACTAATATAGTGGGTTTGCGACCAGCATGGATCCAGACCAGCCTGCGCATCCGCGCAGTCTGATCAGGATCCATGCTGTTCGCTATCAGTTTCTCTACTTGTAATAGGGTTGGTAAGCGAACAGCATGGATCCTGATCAGACTGCGCGGATGCGCAGGCTGGTCTGGATCCATGCTGGTCGCAAACGCATTACGTTGCTTTTGTCATGACGCGGCTCAAATATCATTCCTTCTATCTTCATGTATGATGCGTTCTTGTTTGATATTAGACAATTGTCAATATTATGAGGTTAATTTATAGTGTTGAGAACAATATTAAAAAGTTCTATTAGATGAGTACGCAGCTGTTAAACCTATATTGGACTAGACGCAACTCGAGTCTGATATAGGTTTTGCAACTGTGTATATATGATAAATAATAAGAATTGTTCTCAACAATGTATATTGGCCTCTACATTTCACACCACCATTTTCGGACAATTTGACAGAAAATTGTTACCTGAAATACAAAAAAGGAATTTATATGACGTTTTTAAATCCTGAAAATGAAAACGAAACTAGAAAGGGTACAATATGCATCTAAAACAGATCTTTTGGATTCTGAAAATGAAAACAAGAATGAGAAATAATATGAGGTTATAATTCATTTTTGAGTACAACACTGAAGTCGTATACACATCAGAAAAACTTATATTAGACTCAGTTCACGCCTCGTCCAATATAGATTTGACATTTATGTGCTCGTCAAATAGAATAATTATTGTTTTCAGCAATGTATAATGTTCATCTCATACTAACATTGTTTTAAACTTTCACAGAACTGTGCAACTTCGATAACAATTAGGATTTGATATCGAATTTTGGACGCTCAAAAAAAAATTAAAACGAGGCTAGACGGAGAATAATATGTATTTGATAAAGATGTTGAAGACCCTAAAAATGAAAAAGAGGCTGAATTCAGTAAGATGTGGATTTGACATAGACTTTTTGGACTCTATAAAAACGAGGCTAATGGGGTGCGATATGGATTTAATATGGACTTTTGGACTTAAAAGGAGCCAGTAATAAGTTCTAATGGAACATTAGGTGTACAAACGCTGAAAGTGCATTGGTCATGCACATTTTATAAGGTCTGAAATAATAAATAAATTTTCTTTAATTTGTATTTGAATGAAGGGGGAAAGCGAGGGTTTTCTTCCAAGTTTCACTGTCTCCGTTTCATTTGTAAGCGAATATTATCTAACAGCCACTTACCACCCGGACACTCGTATATGCCACAATACTGCCACCTAATTTTTGGGTCTGTTGTGTAACACCATGGTAACCCTTCTCCGTCGGGATCTCGACAATAGTTGGCAGCATTTGCCACAGATCTCTCTGGAAACATGTTGGGTTGATTTCGTGTATGTTTGTGAGGAGTTTGTGAATCCCACCGCTGGCACGTGTGCCCGTCGTACGTCGTATTTGTAGTGCCTCTATATTGATTTGAAGAGGTACTGAAGCATTCTGAAATATAACCAGGATTTGGTTACTTTTTGACTTTTGTTACTGTTGAAATTTGGTAACTATTCAAATTTAGTTACTATTTAGATTTGGTTACTGTTGTAATTTGATTACTGTTTAAATTTGATTATTGTTGAAATTTGGTTATTGTTAAAATTTGGTTACTATTTAAATTTGGTTACTGTTGAAATTTGGTAACTGATGAAATTTGGTTATTGTTGAAATTGGGTTACTATATATTTAAATTTGGTTACTGTTAAAATTTGGTAACTGATGAAATTTGGTTATTGTTGAAATTGGGTTACTATATATTTAAATTTGGTTACTGTTAAAATTTGGTAACTGATGAAATTTGGTTATTGTTGAAATTGGGTTAACTATATTTTTAAATTTGGTTACGTTGAAATTTGGTAACTGATGAAATTTGGTAACTGTAAAAATTTAATTACTGTTGAAAATTGTTTATTGTTGAAATCGGATTAATTTTTAATTTTGGTTACTTTTGAAATCTGATATATTCAACATTTTTGTAACAATGGCTAACCTGGCCATTATCGAGTAATAGTTTGTGTCCATATTTCGTATTGTGGCCGTGTCCTTTCACCTAATAACAAGGTGATGACCACCAATAAATTCAATCAAATGCATACATTGTGACTATGACAAGCAGGCGTTTAATTAATTGTTTAAAGTGGCGAATGAAATATTCTATTTTTTACGTTTTCTAATAAAGCTAAAAGAAATAGTATAAATGAGACAGACATAAAACAATAACGTCAATTTTTAATTTGATTTTGGAAGCTTAACATGGTAATAGATGTAATCCGGAACTCGGCAAATGTGGGGTACAAGCAAACTTACCGTGTACTACTGGCTTATTTTCGAAGCTGTTACTGGTATTGGCTGGGAAAACCACAAAATATATTTTATTTCTGAGCAAGTCTATTTTTGCTAGTCTGTATGTGATTTCCTTTAACCCCCTCCCCCCCCCCATATTCTTTCCGGCCGTAGCCGGTACTGCCATAATGGTTTGTTATCATCATATCAAAAGGCTTTTCAAAATCAAACCTCCTTTTATTTATATTATTTATTTGTGGGGTTCCAAACAATTGCCAGTCTTATGCAGAGCTGTAAATAAAACTTTTAAAACGCCTTATAAAGATGAGTACATATATGTAAACAATTAACTCGTTTTTGACGTAACAAATACATACATTGTACACTTTGATGTTATTTTTTATTTACTTTGGTTTTACAGACCTTTCAGTAAAAGCCTATCATTTACGCCCTTTTGATCATTTATAATGCTCAATTACAATGATTATTATTTTATTCTATTTCGAGTTAACAAGTAGAATACACAATTGAATTAAAATACATACAATTCACAGTATATCACAAATATGAGTGATATAACTTTGCAAAATGCTAGGCAACCATCGCAACAATATTTATAATGAGTATTTCAAGTCCATGACGGCAATGAACGCTATATAGCGTTCGCGTAGGTTTGAGCGTATGACGTCACCTTCTTAACGTGCGTCCTTTCCGGTGCTTCGAGGAAAGTGTCGAAAGTTTCAATATTATGTAAAAAATAAAATTGTGTTTTCTTTGTCGAGAAAATGCTTTTAATCTCATATCGAAGTGAAAAAATATTTACTGGTTTCGCAATTTATATAATGCAGCCGCTCGTGATCATATTACAATTTACTAAAACAAGTGTGACATATAAATGAAATTGTACCTCTACTATTTTGTCTGTCACGTGTTTCAATATGGTGTTTCAGGAACTGATCTTCGTCAGCAGTTGTAATCTCGGCAAGATAACCGTTCAGTTTTTTACATCGAATCTGAAACAAACATGTTTTAAATCATACAAATAAGGTAAAGCATCAAAGCGAGTGTGAATTGAACTTACGGTCAAATTTTTCAAAACCATCATAGTTTGGATGCTACTTGCGTAACCGTTAGCAGAAACTTCCGACCTGATCTTTTAGCCAGTTAATATGAATTTTGCAAAGCCTATTATTAAGCTCTAGAATAAAATTTACTGAAACATTACATTTTTTTAAGTATTTATCAATCAAGTCTAATAAACTCTCTGTAAATCATGATCTCACAAAGAATCTTATGTCAGGGAAATAGGTTGGAATCTATAAGATTTCCATTTCGGGGAAAAAAGATAATTACCGTAAAACGTGTACGACCGGAACCGGAAGTGACTTCTTATATCTGCTTATAATTCTTAATACAGGGAAGACATAAACGCCAGGGGAGGAAGATTTTTTTTTTTCATAGCTCACAAACGCCAGGCAGTCCTTCGGGCATGCTCTTCAAACTAACTACTTGGTCTTTATGACATGACTGATCTACCATTATAATAATGATTGATGATGATGATGATGATGATAATAATAATAATAATAATAATAATAATAATAATAATAATAATAATAATGATAATGATAACAATAACAAAAATAATAATAATAATAATAATAATAATAATAATAATAATAACAATAATGATTATAATGATAATGATAACAATTTAAATAATAATAATAAAAAAAATGATAATAATAATAAAGATAATAATAATAATATAATCCAGTATAAGGAAAATATTTGGTCATGCAATTTAGATATGTGAAATCAGGATTATACAAAAAGACCAACGTCCTCGTCTAACGATTACATTAAGTGTTCATTTATAAAACGTGCGGCATTTTTCTACGAGTTTTTCCCGCTCTGGTACCCAACCTCAAAGTTCTTAACAAACGTACCTAAAGATTGTCCATGCCATGGGGGCATTGGGATAAAAATTGGTGGTCACTTGTTATTTGGCATGTGGGGCATGGGGATAAAACTTGGTGGTCACTTGTTATTTGGCATGTGGGCATGGGGATAAAGCTTGGTGGTCACTTGTTATTTGGCATGTGGGCATGGGGATAAAACTTGGTGGTCACTTGTTATTTGGCATGTGGGCATGGGGATAAAGCTTGGTGGTCACTTGTTATTTGGCATGTGGGCATGGGGATAAAACTTGGTGGTCACTTGTTATTTGGCATGTGGGCATGGGGAAAAAACTTGGTGGTCACTTGTTATTTGGCATGGGGGCATGGGGAAAAAACTTGGTGGTCACTTGTTATTTTGGCATGGGGATAAAAACTTGGTGGTCACTTGTTAATTGGCATGTGGGCATGGGGATCAAGCTTGGTGGTCACTTGTTATTTGGCATGTGGGGCATGGAGATAAAACTTGGTGGTCACTTGTTATTTGGCATGTGGGGCATGGGGATAAAACTTGGTGGTCACTTGTTATTTGGCATGTGGGCATGGGGGATAAAACTTTGTGGTCACTTGTTTATTTGGCATGGTGATAAAACTTGGTGGTCACTTGTTATTTGGCATGTGGGCATAGGGATAAAACTTAGTGGTCACTTGTTATTTGGCATGGGGATAAAACTTGGTGGTCACTTGTTATTTGGCATGCGGGCATGGGGATAAAACTTAGTGGTCACTTGTTATTTGGCATGGGGATAAAACTTTGTGGTCACTTGTTATTTGGCATGTGGGCATGGGGATAAAACTTGGTTGTCACTTGTTATTTGGCATGTGGGCATGGGGATAAAACTTAGTGGTCACTTGTTATTTGGCATGTGGGGCATGTGGATAAAACTTTGTGGTCACTTGTTATTTGGCATGTGGGGCATGGGGATAAAACTTGGTGGTCACTTGTAATTGGCATGTGGGCATGGGGATTAAACTTAGTGGTCACTTGTTATTTGGCATGGGGATGAAACTTGGTGGGCACTTGTTATTTGGCATGTGGGCATGGGGATAAAACTTAGTGGTCACTTGTTATTTGCCATGGGGATAAAACTTTGTGGTCACTTGTTATCTGGCATGTGGGCATGGGGATAAAACTTGGTTGTCACTTGTTATTTGGCATGTGGGCATGGGGATAAAACTTAGTGGTCACTTGTTATTTGGCATGTGGGGCATGTGGATAAAACTTTGTGGTCACTTGTTATTTGGCATGTGGGCATGGGGATAAAACTTAGTGGTCACTTGTTATTTGGCATGAGGGCATGGGGATAAAACTGAGTGGTCACTTGTTATTTGGCATGGGGGCATGGGGATAAAACTTGGTGGTCACTTGTTATTTGGCATGGGGATGAAACTTAGTGGTCACTTGTTATTTGGCATGGGGGCATGGTGATAAAACTTGGTGGTCACTTGTTTTTTGGCATGTGGGCATGGGTATAAAACTAAGTGGTCACTTGTTATTTGGCATGTGGATATGGGGATAAAACTTGGTTGTCACTTGTTATTTGGCATGTGGACATGGGGATAAAACTTAGTGGTCACTTGTTATTTGGCATGTGGGGCATGTGGATAAAACTTGGTGGTCACTTGTTATTTGGCATGTGGGCATGGGGATAAAACTTAGTGGTCACTTGTTATTTGGCATGTGGGCATGGGGATAAAACTTAGTGGTCACTTGTTATTTGGCATGGGGATAAAACTTTGTGGTCACTTGTTATTTGGCATGTGGGCATTGGGATAAAACTTGGTTGTCACTTGTTATTTGGCATGTGGGCATGGGGATAAAACTTGGTTGTCACTTGTTATTTGGCATGTGGGCATGGGGATAAAACTTAGTGGTCACTTGTTATTTGGCATGTGGGCATGGGGATAAAACTTAGTGGTCACTGGTTATTTGGCATTTAGGGCATGTGGATAAAACTTGGTAGTCACTTATTATTTGGCATGTGGGCATGGGGATAAAACTTAGTGGTCACTTGTTATTTGGCAAGGGGGCATGTGGATAAAACTTTGTGGTCACTTGTTATTTGGCATGTTGGCATGGGGATAAAACTTAGTGGTCACTTGTTATTTGGCATGGGGGCATGGGGATAAAACTTGGTGGTCACTTGTTATTTGACATGGGTTTGAAACTTAGTGGTCACTTGTTATTTGGCATGGGGGCATGGGGATAAAACTTGGTGGTCACTTGTTATTTGGCATGTTGGCATGGGGATAAAAACTTGGTGGTCACTTGTTTATTTGGCATTTGGGGCATGGGGATAAAACTTGGTGGTCACTTGTTATTTGGGCATGGCGATAAAACTTGGTGGTCACTTGTTATTTGGCATGGGATAAAACTTGGTGGTCACTTTGTTATTTGGCATGTGGACATGGGGAAAAAACTTGGTGGTCACTTGCTCTAGTATTTGGCATGGGGGATAAAGCTTGGTGGTCACTTGTTATTTGGCATTGGGGCATGGTGATAAAACTTGGTGGTCACTTGTTATTTGGCATGTGGGCATGGGGATAAAACTTGGTGGTCACTTGTTATTTGGCATGTGGGGCATGGGGGATAAAACTTGGTTGTCAGTTTGTTATTTGGCATGGCGATAAAACTTGGTGGTCACTTGTTATTTGGCATGTGGGCATGGGGATAAAACTTGGTTGTCACTTGTTATTTGGCATGTGGGCATGGGGGATAAAACTTAGTGGTCACTTGTTATTTGGCATATGGGGCATGTGGATAAAACTTGGTGGTCACTTGTTATTTGGCATGTGGGCATGGGGATAAAACTTAGTGGTCACTTGTTATTTGGCATGTGGGCATGGGGATAAAACTTAGTGGTCACTTGTTATTTGGCATGGGGATAAAACTTTGTGGTCACTTGTTATTTGGCATGTGGGCATTGGGATATAAAACTTGGTTGTCACTTGTTATTTTGGCATGTGGGCATAGGGATAAAACTTGGTGGTCACTTGTTATTTGGCATGTTGGCATGGGGATAAAACTTAGTGGTCACTTGTTATTTGGCAAGGGGGCATGTGGATAAAACTTTGTGGTCACTTGTTATTTGGCATGTGGGCATGGGGATAAAACTTAGTGGTCACTTGTTATTTGGCATGGGGATTAAACTTGGTGGTCACTTGTTTATTTGACATGGGTTTGAAACTTAGTGGTCACTTGTTATTTGGCATGGGGGCATGGCGATTAAAACTTGGTGGTCACTTGTTATTTGGCATGTTGGCATGGGGATAAAACTTGGTGGTCACTTGTTATTTGGCATGTGGGGCATGGGGATAAAACTTGGTGGTCACTTGTTATTTGGCATGGCGATAAAACTTGGTGGTCACTTGTTATTTGGCATGGGGATAAAACTTGGTGGTCACTTGTTATTTGGCATGTGGACATGGGGAAAAAACTTGGTGGTCACTTGCTACTAGTATTTGGCATGGGGATAAAGCTTGGTGGTCACTTGTTATTTGGCATTGGGGCATGGTGATAAAACTTGGTGGTCACTTGTTATTTGGCATGTGGGCATGGGGATAAAACTTGGTGGTCACTTGTTATTTGGCATGTGGGGCATGGGGATAAAACTTGGTGGTCACTTGTTATTTGGCATGGCGATAAAACTTGGTGGTCACTTGTTATTAGGCATGGCGATAAAACTTGGTGGTCACTTGTTATTTGGCATGTGGGCATGGGGATAAAACTTGGTTGTCACTTGTTATTTGGCATGTGGGCATGGGGATAAAACTTAGTGGTCACTTGTTATTTGGCATGTGGGGCATGTGGATAAAACTTCGTGGTCACTTGTTATTTGGCATGTGGGCATGGGGATAAAACTCAGTGGTCACTTGTTATTTGGCATGTGGGCATGGGGATAAAACTTAGTGGTCACTTGTTATTTGGCATGGGGATAAAACTTTGTGGTCACTTGTTATTTGGCATGTGGGCATTGGGATAAAACTTGGTTGTCACTTGTTATTTGGCATGTGGGCAGGTGGATAAAACTTTGTGGTTACTTGTTATTTGGCAT